AGCATTTTTGTGTCGTATTGAGATTTTACAGGCCACAAACTGGCTGCCTTTGTGAGGTCAGTGTCCTCCCTCTCGAGTTTTTAGTAATCATAGTAATAACTGAGTCTGTGCTCGTGAACATAATCTATATGTATTCAAACATGAAGCAGCAATTCGTGTTTATCTCCGTGAATATTCCATATTTAAAGGGCACAGCCGCTAGCACCTTTATGTATAAAGGCAGTTTATGTTGTGTGTATGAAACAAAATAAAACTGAAACCGAATGGTGCTTGTGTTTACTTTTGGCGAGCAGTTTAATCTGCAGTTTCACCATTTGCCACTGGGTGACAGCAGTACCGCGCCGCCCATTTTGACCTGTGGTTTGTACTTCGACGACGAAGAAGAACCCGGAAGTGCTCCACCAATACGAGTCGACCCAAACACGAGTTGCTAAGTCACCAGATGTCAACAAACGTGAACGTCTTGAGTGACCCCGCGGCTTTTCGGTCGTCTTTTGCTCGTCAGCAGGTACGTTAGCCTCACTAAAACGAGCTAAAATCTATGTTGATGCCGCTGGATCGCTTTTGGAATGTAACCCGAGCAGTACGCCGTTATAAATGTCTTCCTCTTTCAGTGTACTTCGTAAAAGTGCCTGCGCGGTCGCGACATCACAAGGGTCTTTCGGTGCCCAAACCTGCGGGCGCTTTGCGTCATGAAAATGTCTCTGTCAGCCGAACACATGATTTCAAATTAATAAAAATCATTAGACGTTATCGATGAGTTTATTCAATTGATTCCCTTATTTCCATTCCTTATATGCATTTATTAACCCAATTGAACTAATTTTATCGCGGATGAATGGCTCTACTCTATTGCAACTGGTCTGTCGGGATGCAAATTAACTTTAAAACGTCATGATTTATAACAGTCGTTCACTACGTACAAGTCAGTGTGGACCCGTCAATAAAATAAAGGTTGGATGATTTTATCTTACAAGTGTGGAATGTGACATTTATAACGTTTTAGCAAGGCCTTATAAAGTTGTGTAAATGTTGTTGTTCTTTTTCTGGGAACTCCGAAGCCGATACGTGAGCGAGCGACCGAAAGCGGGTTTTTAGCTTTAGCCCTTCGCTCGTTCTCGAACCTTCGTCACGCCCTCGACGGCCGTCACGATGCGTTGTTTACGTGGCATTTGCCCCCTCACACCCCGTGTGTCCAACATTGTAGATTTTCTTTTCTCTTTCTGTGTTATTATCTTTTTTTTCTTTGGGCAAGAGAAGATTTTGCTTTCAGGATGGTTATTCTGCACGTGAAGCGCGGGGACGAGAGCCACTTCCTGTTCAGCGCCGGCGTGCAAGAGGCAGTCGACGTACTCGTGCGCGACATCACCGCCATTTTCAACGGGAGGCTTAAAGTTGGCCGAATCTGCGCAGGCAAGAAACTTTCAACTTCAAAGAATCCTCATGGAATTATTGAAGTTAAAAATCACTTTATTGCAACAGTAGATTGAATGAATTCGATTCGATTCATTAGATTCACTTAAATGGTCACTGTACAGCATATATGTAAATATAAAAAATGTGTTAAAAGTGAATGATTTTCATTGATCACGGTGGGCTTGGAATGGTAGCAGCTCCCCCGTTGAAAAAGCGGGAAATGTCTCCTTTAAGGGCACTTGCTTCTGGTTGCAGAGATGGCCGAGCTGGCAGAACACGGCGTCACGCTGCCGCCTAACATGCAAGGGCTAACGGACGAGCAGCTGGTGGACCTGAAGCTGAAGGATGAGTGGGAGGACAAGTGCGTGCCCAGCGGGGGCGCCGTCTTCAAGAAGGACGACATCGGCCGGCGCAACGGACATGGTGAGCAGACGGACGTTTTTGAGCTCTTCAACTTTCAGGACACCGAACACCATTTTGGGGAAAGATAACGCCCTCCTCTGCTCTCCCCCGATGGCTAAGGCACACGCTTCACCGGAAGGAGAAGCACAAACTTGTTTAAACAATTTGTAGCGGAAGTTAACATGTATTTATTTTGTATTTCCAGTTTTTCCCCCCTTTGGGGACCGAATTGTTTTTTTGGACTGGTTTGTGTGACGGATGACGGACTCGTGTTTTCTTTGCGTCAGCTCCCAATGAGAAAATGAAAGCCGTGCTACTCAAAACGGTGGACGAGGCGAAGGCCCTCATCTCCAAAGTAAGTCCGCACATGAATTGCGACTGCGTCCAACCCCCGATGTCGATGCAACTGCGTGTGGTCGGTCCCCTCGGAAGAAACAAGTGGAAGTCAACGTGTGCGTGACCATGGCCATGGTGAAGGAAGCCCTGGCACAGCTGCGGGGGGCCGTCATGATCGCGTACCCCATGGGGCTGCCTCCTCACGACCCCATCCGCATGGAGCTGGAGGACCGCGAGGACCTGTCGGGGACGCAGGTGAGCCCAACGGGGTGG